TGTGAGCGCCCGGGGCCCGCCGCCTGCGCACAAGTGGCCCGGCTCCTGGCGCGGCATCCGCGCTGTGTGCCCGACGGCCCGCACCGTCTGCTTTTCTGCCAGCAGCTGGTGCGTTGCCTCGGCCGCTTCCGCTGCCCCTCAGAGGGCGAGGAGGGCGCCGTGGAGTTCCTGGAGCAGGCCCAGCAGGTGAGCGGGCTCCTGGCGCAGCTGTGGCGCACGCAGCCCGCCGCCATTCTGCCCTGTCTCAAGGAGCTCTTTGCAGTCATCTCCTGCACAGGTGCGTGTGTGACCCGGGCCAGGGAGGAGGGCTGTGGGCGGGGACACAGCCGGGACAGGTGATTGTACTTGCGATGGGCGAGTCCGCAGAATGGTGTGGCACGTGGTGCGAGGGTGCACGCACAGGTGGGGAACTAGGAGTTAGCGCACCTATCCCGAGCTCCTGTGTGTGGCCTGGAAACTCGGGAGCGGTACCCTGGCTGGTGCGGGAGGACAAGATCAGTTTGGCGAGTGAGCAGTGGCTGCCGGGAAACCACTAGGACAGGGAGCGTCAGGGCCTTGAGCTGGATGGAAGGAAGTCGGACTCTCCAGCCTGGTCTTGAGAGATCAGGAGCACCTAGCAGCAGGGGTGCTAGGGGAATGAAGGGAATATACCTGGCAGGGAGAGGACCTAAGGCTCTGTGTACAAGGACCAGCATCCTAATACAATTAGACAATGTGTTTTGTTCTTCTATTGATTTTTTTTGAAGCAGTGTCTTGGTATGCAGAGCTGGCTGGCCTGGAACCACTGTGTAGTCCAGACTTGAACTCGTGGTGCTCATCCTGCGTGCTGCACTTACAGGGGTGCACCTCCACGATAAATTTTGCTAACTAAATGGTGCCTTCTCACCTCTAGGCCACTGTCCAGTGTTTCCGCCTAGCATATCCCCTTCCTCCAAAGGCCTACCTTTTCTGCGAGCTCCAGTGTTACTATTTCTACAGAGCTTGCTGTACACCCACAGTGGAAAATTAGTACTTGTCTTAGTTACTTTTCTCTCCTTGCTGAGACACATACCCATCACCCAGAGTTAGAGGATGAAAGGTTTATGTAGCTCGCTATTTGTGGAGGTTTCAGTCCTTGGCTGGCCCCAAGCTGGGTGGCATGGCAGAGGGCAAAGTTCATGGTGGCGGAAGACAGCAAGAGCAAACAAGAGCAAGGGCCAGAGGGACAGTGAGAGAGCAGCAAACCTCATTCTGACCCTTATGTTGTGTATAGGCTTCCCAGCATTAGGCTATGAACCAGTCACAAACTCTAGATTCGGCCACTTCTGAACCACACCCCCACCCCACATCCCCGCAACGACTGCATGAGGCTTTGGGGGGACATCCAGACACAAACTGTGACAGTGCTTTGGCTTGGTGCCCAGTACAGGCTTAGGCTCAAAGCAGTGCCAGGGAAGGTTTGTTGAGTGAATGAGTTTGTATGAGTCAGACACTGTGATGCTATAGGCCAGTGATGGGGAACATGTTAGAGACCGAGGACCCAGACTGCAACCCAAAACCCACTTGTGTATCACCACGCGCCAACACTGCAACTAAATCTGAACACTGAGGTTTTAGTTTAGAGGAAAGAGCTGTTATCTGATGCTCAGCTGCTGGGGTGACTTGGCTGTCTGCATGCCTGCTGCACATGCATGCCCTAGGTTCGCTACTGCGGCTGTAGAGGAGCCGAGGTGGCCCCCATGTGCTCTTTGAAGAGGCCCAGCTGAGCTCCTGGCAGCTTGAGGGGATGGGTGGCCGGGGGAGGGCTGCCTGCCCTGCTGAGCTCAGTTTAATACGCTGTTCCAGAGGAGGAGCCCCCGTCCAGCGCCTTGGCCAGCGTGGTCCAGCACCTCCCATTGGAACTCATGGATGGCGTGGTCCGGAATCTCAGCAATGATGACAGTGTGACCGACTCCCAGATGCTGACTGCCATCAGCAGGTGGGGGTGCCAAGGGCTGGGGATATGCGGGGTGGGACCCCTCCTTCTCTTCCTCCCAGGAGCCCCCCCACTGGGTGGGGTTGCTGGGCTAGATTTAGAGCCAGAGGCCAGACCCTCCTGCTTGTTTTGTGACTCTGTCCAGGAGCCCTGGGCTACATATGGGCAATACAGAGCCCTGCCCTAGGACCAGCCATGTGACTCTGAAAGTACAAGTGAATTCTCAGACTGTTTCCCTGTTGGTAGCAGTGGAGGTGGGTGGTGGTGTCTCCAGGCTTCCAAGGGGTCCTGTAAGAAGGGGAGAGTAAGTACTTTCTGAGTTTGACTAATACCATAAACAGCTAGGGGTGCTTTTCAGCTCAGAGCTCCTGAACATCCTTCCTCTTACCCGAGTGTCCTCGTACCTGTTTTGAGCCTAACCTGCCTGTCCTGACGCCAGAATATGCTTCCTGTCCTCCTCCCTGCAGGCCTGTGCCTGTGCAGACCCCCTCTCCCTGGCATGGCCCCCTGCCGTCCCTTCCATGCCCACAGTCAGACCTAGCGGCTGTGCAGCGCCTTCCTGGATTCCTTGTCTTTAGTGGGTAAGAGTATGGGCACTGGAAGTGAGTTGCCCAAGAGCAAATCCTGCCTCTACCACTTCTTGACCATGTGACTTTGTACAGCTTATGCAGCCTTTGCATTTCTGTTTCCTCAGCTGTACAGCAGTGTGTGATTGAGCCCATTCATAGGAGCGTGGTGAGGATTAGATACAAGACGCACTGTGCCAAGTGACAGGTGGCAGCTGCTTTTACCATGGCTGCCGTTACTTTGCTCTCTTTTTTTTTTTCGGTCCCAGGGATCGAACTTTGCTCTCTCACTATTGTCCCTCTTACTAGCACAGCCTGAGTATAATTGATCCGCTGCCCAGGGCTTGTGCTGTGGGGCTGAGACATGCTGGGGCGGTGCCCAGTATAGGCGAATGCTCCATGGTGTTGGCTTCTCATCTTTTACTCAGAGTGACAACCTTGGGAATGAGACACTGTCCTGGTTACAGGGAAGAAACTGAGGCTCGGAGAGGGAACGGGGCTTGGTCCGGATCCCATGGCCAGGGCTCAGCAACCAGAGATTTCAGCCCCGGGTGGTGATCTTCGTGGGAGGCAGCTGGGAGTCCCTTTCTGCACTGCAGCCCTGGAGGAGGCGTGAGGTTTGGTGCCAAGAGGCGTGAGGTTTGGTGCCTCTTCAACTCTCAGGCTGTGGAGCACCTCTTGCTGGGCTCACTAGCATTTGGGGCAGAATCCTGTGTAGCCCACAGACCCCAGGGCTGCTGGGGCGGGTGTGAGTCAGCGTGGGAACTGAGGACACGGCGGCTGGTCTCCGTGCTGCCCTCCCACAGGCACTTGGGCCTCCCGGGCCCCTCTATCACTGTCACCTCTTCCCCCAGGATGATCGACTGGGTGTCCTGGCCGCTGGGGAAGAACATTGACAAGTGGATCATTGCCCTGCTGAAGGGCCTGGCCGCCGTGAAGAAGTTCAGCATCTTGATTGAGGTTTCGCTGGCCAAAATTGAGAAGGTTGGTGAGCCCCGTTCTGACCCGGGCTGGTGGCCTTTTCCACCAGTCTCTTGCCAGGCGCTGCAGGTGTGGGCGTCAGTGCCAGGGATCCCACTCAAGTTCACTTCATGACCTGGCTAATTCACTGCCTCTGTCTGGGCCTCAGGCTCCCCTCACCAGTCCTTTGACCCTCGTTTCCATTGACTGTGCCTCTGTCCCTGTTGGTCTCCCATCTGTCCGTCCGTAGGGGTCTGCTCTCCTGCCACCCGTTTTGCCATCTGTCTGCCACGTCTGTAAGCCCTGTGTTCTGGCTCCTGGGTGGGTCTGCGGCTTCAACTCTCTTCTGTCTCAGACCCCTCCCAGGCTTGGGTTTGTGCTCGGCCTCAGGCAGCCCACGTCTGGGGGACCCTGACCAGCAATTCTTTTCTAGGTCTTCTCCAAGCTGCTGTACCCCATCGTCCGGGGAGCTGCCTTGTCTGTCCTCAAGTACATGCTGCTGACTTTCCAGCATTCCCACGAGGCCTTCCACCTGGTAAGAGAGAGAGCGCTGCCGGCTGCCCCAGGGATGGGGCTCTACACACCCCCAGCGCCTGAGGGGCAATGTGCTTTCTCCTTTGGAGGGTGAGAGGTTAGGGCTTGAAGCTCAAGACCTCAAAGCTTGGATATGAGTATGGGAGGAGGCCTGAGACTCTGCTCCTGTACAGGTAGAATGCTGAGGCCAGGGAATTTGCATAGCCTTCCCCTGCGTATGTGAGTAACAGAGCCTGGACTAAAGGCAGCTAATGTTCCTTGGGGCCACCGTGCCAGGCGCAGTGCGAAGGACAGTACATACGTTCATGCGTTAACTCCTGGGCAGAAGTCCCGCCATATTCTTCCTTCTGCAGATGAGGAAAGTGCTGTTTGGGGAGGTTAAGTTGCTTGTCTCAGACACAGCCGGTGAGTGGAACGGAAGAGTCAAGCCAAGTCTGCCCAGTTCCCAGCCCACTGTTCTTCCTGTCCCCTGTCCCCCGCAGCACCCTAGAAGTCTGGCCTTTGGCTTGGGCTCCCTTGGGAGGGGGCTGCCTTGCCTTCCTCACTCCTCCCGCCTTCCTGTCCCTAGCACACGCGGCCCCAGGTTCTGATGGCACAGGGTCAGGGGAGCAGAACTTTGCACTTCCCAGTTAGTTTCAGTGGGAAAAGGACAGAACCTGAGACTGGGGTGCCTGGGGTTGAACCTAGCACTGCTGTTTGCCTGATGTGGTGACCTTGGGCTGAGCACTGAGCCCTCGGAGCGCCCGGAATAGTGTCAGCCACGGGACAGTGGGAGGGGGTCAGGAGGGCTGGTGTTTGCCTAGAGCCTACCACATTCGGATTGGGCTTGATATACACTCCTTTCCTTCCCTCACTCTCCTGGGCTCCTTGTCCCCGTGGCCTGACTGTCCGTTGTGACTTCACGGATACAGCACCCCAGGTGGTCTGCACATTGAAACTCCATAGAAGAAGGGACTCAGACCTGTTCAGACACTGGCTTCTGTAGCTCGCAGAGCAATCCGGGGAAATAATATAATCTCTTGAGCTGGGGTGTGTGGCCTGTGGTAGAGTGTTTGCACAAGGCTTACACAAGGTCCTGGATTCATTGATCCCTAGCACTTGGGGGTACACACACACACACACACACACACACACACACACACACACACACACACACACACAGAACCTTGCTCAACGTCTTCATCTGTAGGATGGGGTAATTGCTGCTGAATCAGCTCATTGCGTGAAGTGCTTGAACTTCAATGCTGGCCAGGGCCCACACAGCTGGCTGTCATGGCCGCAGCATCACTCCTTCTTGGCACGGTCGCCCCGCGCATTGAGGCTTTCAGGCTCGGAGGGCTGCTCAGTGGGCTGAGGCTGAACAGCCAGGCTCAGGTCCAAGCCTTCGCTGAGCTCTGAGGAAGGTATTGTGTCCTGTCCTGCAGAAGAAGCTGAGGCAGGAAGTCATCAATTCTATGTCTTGTGAAAGGACTCACCGCCTGCAGCCCAGCCGCACGGGGCCAGGCCTGGGTGGGTAGAGCCTGGCCTAACCGCCCTCTGCTCTCACAGCTCCTCCCCCACATCCCCCTCATGGTGACCTCTCTGGTCAAGGAAGACTCGAACTCAGGGACCAGCTGCCTGGAGCAGTTGGCGGAGCTGGTCCACTGCATGGTGTTCCGGTTCCCAGGCTTCCCAGACCTCTACGAGCCTGTCATGGAGGCCATCAAGGTGAGTGACAACTCCTTACTAGTCCCTGACCCTGCTCCGGCAAAGCTGCCAGCGTGGGCCTTCCTCAGGGCTGCTCCGTGGCTTGGAGACAGCCTCCCGTTATTTGCTCCCTGAGCAGCTCCTGCCACCTCTCCAGGGCCACAGTGTGCTTCAGGCGAACTGGGTTCCCACGCTTTCCCAGCTGGGTTGTCCTCTCACGCCTGCTGTTCCCACTAACTATAAACCCTTCCTGTTCTGCTGCACGGCTCCCAGTTAGGCTTCATGTTGCCTCCCCCAGGAAGTCCTCCCCAATACCTCTCATACCCGCCTCATGCCCCAGGCCCGGTCAGGGCCCCTGAGGGCTTCCGCAGCCCTCGTACCTCTTTTGATCACACACCGTCACTGTGTGTCCCCCATTAGACCATACGCGCTGCAGAGCAGGGATTACTTACACTTGTTCATGTGACTGTGCTGATGCCCCGCTGTGCTAAGCTGGGGACTGGGGACACAGGCAGGATGCGAGTTGCAGGAGCTTACAGCTCACATGTAAGAATGTCTGATCTGCGTGGCTTGTGAGGCCTCCAGGGCTTGGGCCTAGAGCAGTGAGGAGCTGAGGGAAGAAGAGGCTTCTGCAGTTGGAGAAAGAGGCTACAAAGAAGAAAGAGGAAAGATGGCTTGCTAGGTCACTGCGGTCTTCCCGTGGCTAACACTTATAGGTAGGGCTGCATCCGACAGTGTTTTCCCACACGTTTTGTCTGCTGACGCTTGCAGGTAGCCTGTGAAGCAGGTAGGACTATTTCGGCTTCATAAAGGAGGGCTTGGAGAGGTATGGCGGTCTGACACCTAGCCAGGGCCCTGGATTGCCGAGGCCCACCACGGCCCAGTGTGAGCGGCAGGCCTGGGGACAGGGAAGCGACGAGGTTGGTGGTTCTTTTGGAAACTGACTTGACTTTCACTGTTGAAGCACAGCTAACTAGCCGCTCTAGAAAGTGTCCCACTGCAGAGCCTCTAGAAAAGCTTACTGAAATATAACGAACATCTTTTTAAGTACATAGCTGAGCTTGCCAGAAAGTAAGGGGGAATCCCCAGGGACCAACCAAAAAGGAAGAGAAAACTGATTTCCAGAACGGTAAGTGAGAAATGATGCTCTTTTGCCTGGGGTGGGAGGATAGGTGAGGTGGCTACCTTCAGTCACCGGAGGGCTTTGAGCTGGTGGCGACAGCAGATGAGGCTTAGGACCTGTCCCTGGTAGGGAGGTCACACTGTAGAGCCCACAAAGTCCAAAGAAAGGCTTTACTGTTAGTGACAGAAGGATCTGGAAAAAACATTCCTATGACCCAAACTAGAGATCAAAGCAACCTTTCTAGCTTAGTCTGGGTCCTGAACTGAGAGGAAGAAAAAAAAAAGAAGGAATTTGAACTAGTGCCCTGTGCTCATGTGCTTTTAAGGGTTCAGATTCAGATTATTTTCGGAGCTGTGGGACCCCTCTCCCAGGTTTAGATGGTAGCATGAAAAGTGTTGATAAACTTGTAATACCCAACTGTTGCCTAGTAGACCGAAACAAACCGAGCTCTGAAGTTCTACAGAGGAGGAATTTGTAAACCCAAAGTTACAGAACACGGAGTCGCCATGACTGAGTAAATACAACAGACCAAACCTCGGGGTACTTTCTTGAGCCTCTTGCTTTTCATACATAAGCTGGGACAGTGTTGTCATAGTTGGGGGCGCTGTCTCCATGGGGCTCGAGCTCCCTGTGCAGACAAGCAGAAGGGCTGGGACCGCACTTGTAGGGGATACGCTGAGCTTCTGGGGCTGTTAGTAATTTCTTGCTAGATTGTGAGCTGCTGGTGGGCAGGGTGTGTTTTGATAGCTGTCTTCCGTACCTGGTGACTGCGAGCAGGCTGTCATTACACCATGGCTGTAGTGTGAAGGTCACCTTGATTTGGGGCGAACAAGGACGGGGAGGCAGGCCTATGGAGGGAGACCTGTGATGAGTGTCAGGCTTTGCATGCTGGGGCTTGTGGCCTGGTCCAGGGCTAAGGCGGGTCTGCAGGTACCTGCTGGAGTCAGCTGCAGGGAGCAGGGCCATGGCTCAGGGACATACTGGGAAGCCTTCTCGAAAGCCTCCTCGAAAGCCTTACAAGAGGGGGTCAGCATCAGACTGCAGCTCCAGATGAGCTGGAGTGGAAGGCCCTGGGGGGGATGTGTGAGTCCACTGTGGTGGTCGTGTGTCAGCAGAGCCGTGAGGCCCCGTCTTGATCTCTGCCTGATCCAGTAGCCCTGGGCCTCTTAAATGTTTCTACCGTGGGACCTGCTGTCAGATGAGGGAGACTGACCCAGAGAACTTTGCCATGAGCTCAGTCTCTCTACAGCCTCTGAAGTACCAAGTGCATATTTCATAATTACAAACATTTGTTTTAGTATGAACATACTTTTCTTCCTTGAGTGTTAGTGCCAGGAAAATGGGTTACATTTGTCCTGTGGCCTTGAATACCCTCTGGGACAAGCCAATTTGAGAGGCAAGGGAGCGAACAATAGTATTGTTCATGAGATTCTTTCGTATGCATCATGTGTGCAATCCTTCTTTGCATACGTGTCCCCTGTGAGCCAGCCTGGGAAGTTCTCTCGATGTATCGAGTTATGGCAGTCTGTCAAGGAGCTGTGGTCCTTGCCGAGCAAGTTATGGTATATAAATTACCAGGAATAGTAGGAGTTTGAGAGTTATGTAGAAGATTTTGTTTTATCTTCTCAGAGTACAGAGTTCCCTTCTTTGGGAAAAATATTTGATGTTTTCTCCAGCACGGCTGTGTTTGCATCTTCTCTGTGCAGTCCTAGCTGCCTTCTGTCCCTGTGTGCTCGTGCGTGGATGTGTGGGGTGATTAGATACGGCATGGTAGGAAAAAAAGAGGATACTGAGCCTATATTTACATTTCCCCCTGGTACCAGTGCTTTTTAGTTATCTGTGAGAGGTGACTAATCCAATAAGTTATCTGAGAGTGATTCGGGGAGCTCAGTGACTCAAGTGCTAAGCCGTGGCTTGAGCAAGTCCTGCAAGAACCAGAGGCCAAGCGCTGGGGAACGGCTTGGGTGCCAAGTTAGTTAAGCCCCATGGGCCCTCGGAGCGGGCAGTACGGGTCCTGGAGGACCTGCTGGGAGTGTTGCTGAAAGGTGCTAAGTAGTACTCCTGGTGCTTAGGTGGTTTTTACAATACATCATTATTGAAACTAGTGCTTGGTAAGCTTTTCAGCGTAGCTGTTTAATGTGACAAAGGACAGTGAGTGGAAAATATGCTAATCCCTGAGCCTGTGACCAAGGCCCATTCCTCAGAATCCCAGGATCCTTCCACCACTGACTGTGACTGTCGGGCAAAAGGCAGGAGTGACTGCTTCTCTCGAAAGCCTATTGTGCAGGTCTAGAAGGAGGCAGAGTGGGAACGCCCCTGCCTGCAAGTACTGTGAAGGCAGAGGATGCCAGGCTGGTGTAAGGGGTCCTCTCTTGCCAGATGAGGAAGCCAGGTGTATGAGGCACAGAGGCTCACTGACCACAGCTGGTCTTGAGGGCAAATTAGAGCTGGACTTGGCCAGTGTTTAGAGACTTCCATCCTGCAGGCTATGTTAGGAACGTATATCTTTTCACTTACTACCTGTGAGACCCTGGACAATTACTTTCTCTGAGTCTAGTTGTTTCATCTCTAAAATGGGGATTGTGCCCCCTGAGGCAGTTGTCACCTGAAAGATCATGTAGAAGGCCCGCATAACAAAATGAGAACCTGGCCTGAGTTGTAAGTGGGAAGGGTCCCCAGACCTCTTGAACGCTGAGTGGTGTGTGCTGGGAAGTTGTTGAGTGGGCTGTAGTCCAGGAAGGCTTCTCAGAGGAGGTGATATTTTTTGAGCTGACCCTAAAGCTCAGTGTCTTGCCTGCTTCTTTCCCCCTCAGGACCTCCACGTTCCCAATGAGGACCGCATCAAGCAGCTGCTGGGGCAGGATGCCTGGACCTCACAGAAGAGTGAGCTGGCTGGCTTTTACCCTCGGCTCATGGCCAAGTCAGACACGGGCAAGATTGGTTTAATCAATTTGGGCAACACGTGCTACGTGAACAGCATCCTGCAGGCTCTGTTCATGGCTTCCGAGTAGGTGCTGCTCGTGAACGCTGTCTGCCCTTTCCTGCTGTGTCTCAGTGGAAGGTGGGGAGGGTGGGCCTTGCCCTACGCAGTTGGCGAGGTTGCCACCAGTGGAGCCTGGGTGGGAATTCAGGTGGGGCTGGGGGATGGGCTGCAGGGGCTGCCCTGCACCGCTGACTTTCCTGGTGGACTGGGGTGTTGCGTTTTCACCCACCATCTCTCCCCTCTTTTGAACGAAACAGTCTTTACCAGTGGCTACCTGCATCCTCTGTATGGCTTGCTTAAAAATCACTCGAAGTTTCAGCTTTGGCTCAGGTGAAAGGAGCTTGGGCTTGCAGTATGACCTCAAGACAGTGTTTTCTCCCTGAGCTTCAGGGTTAGTAGGAAGCAGTTAGGGCTGATCTCTAAGGCTTCCTAAGGTGCTGCTACCTGTTCTTCAACTGCCTCATGGAAGGACTAAGTCTGTTTTCCTGATTTCTGATATGCGCAGATTAGTACTTTTTTTTTTTTTTTTTTGGTCTTTTTGAGACAGGGTCTTGCTATGCAGTTCAGGCTGACTTTGAGCTCACTTTGTAGCCCAGGCTGGCCTCGAACTCGCAACGATCCTCTTACCTCAGCCTTCCGAGTGCTGGGATTATAGGCATGGGCCACCACGCCCGGCTGAGATTAGTACTTTTGTGCAGTACAGCAAAGTGACTTGCCGGAGAGACGTCATGTGCTTGTGGTGCCTGAGTGTGAGTGCTGAGGCGCTTGCTCATTTTCTGAACTTGCCTTCCTCAGAGGGGCCACATTTTGAGTAGTGCTCTTCTGTGTAGTGGCTCAGTGTGGGGAAATATGTGACTGACTGGCCAAAGCTGCTCTTGAGCACAGCACTAAGCTGGGCCCTGGACGCTGGCATGTTCCGGGGTCGGTGGGTGTTGGGAGGGCTCCTCCTGTCCCCATAGGATCGGACCTGTCACTGGCAGCCAGCCTGGCCCTGCAGCGTCCTCTTCCTTTCGGTGCATTCCTTGCATTGGCTCTGGCTCCCTCCTTTGACGGCAGGGGACTAAGTTGGGGGCCACAGGGCAGGAGCCCTGAGCGGGGGCTTTAGGACTTGTGTTGGGAGGCAGAGGCTGGTGGGGGCAAGTGCTGTGTGGCTGGGAAGCTGCTGGCACGGATTCTGTGCCAGAGTCCCAGCCTTAGAACACTGGAATGTTTGAACGCTGGCGTCACAGGGTGTCAGAGCTGGAAGAGACTGCAGGGGTCACCTTGTTGTACCCTTTATTGTCACATTAAGGCCATTGCCACACTCCCGACCTCAGGCCCTCCAGGCTGAGCTGTCACTGTCTCCTCCTCCCAGTTCTCTGGCCTCAGCTGGAGCTGGGAAAGTCCAGAGACTCTGGGCTGCCTGAGGGTGGGTGAGTAGGGCCTCCCGGGGGGCCTTGGCTCACCCTGGGCGCTCCCACTTTGTTTTGAAGCTTTCGACACTGCGTGCTCCGTCTGACTGAGAACAACTCACAGCCCCTGATGACCAAGCTGCAATGGCTCTTTGCCTTCCTGGAGCACAGCCAGGTGCGTGCGGGGCGGGGCGCAAGGGGCGGGTGGTGAGGCGGTGCTGGTCACTCGCAGGACTGTGAGGCTCAGGGTGTTGCATTAAGGTGTCGCCTCATTCATCTGCTGTTTTTGAGCACCCACATTACCAGGTACCGCGAGGGATGTGGAGGATACAAAGGCGAACAAGACAAATGTCTGTCTGTCCTTGTAGAACCTAATGCCCTGGGTCAGGGATTCTGCAGGGCCCTGTGAGGGGGCAGAGATGAGTAAGCCCCTCCACCTGGCAGGAAGACGACCTGTGGATGACGGTTGTCATGCTTTCTCGTAGGGAAACACGGCAGACGTGAACAGGGAGGGAAAGGGGAATGGCGGGGGCTGGGCTGAGAAGGTGTCACAGCAGAGGCCACGCTGCGCTCGTTTTTACGGGGCTGTTTTAGGCAGGGAGTAAGGCAGGGAGGGAAGCGTGACACGTGCAAGCAAAGAGCAGACTCCTGGAGGTTGTTCGTCTCCAGGACCCCAGCGCCCTGCTTAGCGGGTGCGTGGTTGCGGGATGGGATGGGTTGGGGACAGCAAGGAGAACTTGATGGAGGGGGCTGGGCTGTTGGGGACACACTGCTAGGTTGACTCTCAGGCCCAGCACTCTGCGGAGTGGCCGGGAGTGCGGCTGCTGCTCCTGAGCCCCTCTCTCACCCTCCTTGCCACAGAGGCCGGCCATCTCGCCGGAGAACTTCCTCTCTGCCTCCTGGACACCCTGGTTCAGCCCTGGCACCCAGCAGGACTGTTCAGAGTATCTCAAGTACCTGCTGGATCGGTAAGTGAGGCCAGGGCTCCGGCTTGGGGCGGTGGGCAGAAGGCTGCAGGTCCAGAGACAGGTCCTGGGGAGAGGTGAGCCCTGAGCTGGGTCGCAGCTTCACGGTAAGGGGAGCGGGAGCGTGGCCTTGCACTTCTGGAAGGCGTGGGCCACAGGTGTGGGGCGTGGCTGAGTGCGAGGGGGTGTGGAGGTGCCACGGGCCCCGTGTGCGTGCCGTGCTGTACTCGCCCAGCGTTCCAGTCTTCCCCCTGCCCAGGAGCCCAGCTCCTGGATTCAGATGTCTACGTAGTGTCACCTGTGTGCAGGTGAGTCTAGCATGTGTGCTAGCTGTGTGCACGCATGTGTGTGAGCGTGGCATGTTTGCGTGCCGAGCCCTGGCAGGCTTGTGTGTTTAAACGTGTGGCCGGCTGGACAGGGCAGCGGGGCACGAGGCGCGCGCGGGCGCCGGAGGCAGCCCTGTGCCTGTGGGAAAGCCCTGTGCTCCCTGCTCGCTCCAGGCTGCACGAAGAGGAGAAGACAGGCGCCAGGATCTGCCAGAAGCTCAAGCAGTCCGGCCTGCCCTCTCCCCCTGAGGAGTCCCCCAGCCCGAGCTCCACCTCTGTGGAGAAGATGTTCGGAGGCAAGATTGTGACCCGGATATGCTGCCTCCACTGCCTCAACGTCTCGTCCCGCGAGGAGGCCTTCACCGACCTCTCCCTGGCCTTCCCTCCCCCCGAGCGCTGTCGCCGCCGCCGCCTGGGCTCCGTGATGCTCCCTCCAGAGGACGTTGCGGCTCGGGAGCTTGCGTCTGTCCCCCGAGCCCCAGCTGCCGGCACGGTGGGTCCTCGGAGGCAGAGGAAACACTGCATCACGGGGGACGCCCCCCCGACCCTGCTGGACATCGAAGGCCGGGGGCCCTCTGGAGCGGGGGAGCAGAGTGGGCCGGAGGAGGAAGGGGAGGAGGCGGCGGCGGAGAGGGAGGAGGAGCGGGAGGAGAAGGTGGCGGAGGAGGAAGAGCTGGGCAAGGAGGAGGAGAAGGAGGAGGAGGGGACAAGGGAAAAGGACGAGGAGGAAGAAAAGGAAAAAGAGCACAAGGGGGCAGAGAAGGAGAAAAAGGAAGAAAAAGAAGAAAAGGAGGAGAAGGAGGAGGTGACGGAGAAGCAGGCGGAGGCAGAGAAGGACGACGGCAGCGCGGGCGCCGGGGTGCACAAGGACGCTGCCACGCCCTCCAGGGAGCAGCAGTGTGGCCCGGAGGGCTCCCGCTCCGTCCTGGACCTGGTCAACTACTTCCTGTCCCCCGAGAGGCTGACGGCGGAGAACCGCTACTACTGCGAGAGCTGCGCCTCCCTGCAGGACGCGGAGAAGGTGGTGGAGCTGAGCCAGGGCCCGCGCTACCTCATCCTCACGCTGCTGCGCTTCTCCTTCGACCTGCGCACCATGCGGCGCCGCAAGATCCTGGACGATGTCACCATCCCCCTGCTGCTCCGCCTGCCGCTGGCGGGGGGCCGGGGTCAGGCCTACGACCTCTGCAGCGTCGTGGTGCACTCCGGCGTGTCCTCGGAGAGCGGCCACTACTACTGCTATGCCCGCGAAGGCGCCGCCCGCCCTGCCCCTTCCCTGGCAACTGCAGACAGACCAGAGCCTGAAAACCAGTGGTACCTGTTCAATGACACCCGGGTGTCCTTCTCCTCCTTCGAGTCTGTGAGCAACGTCACCTCCTTCTTCCCCAAAGATACAGCCTACGTGCTCTTCTACCGCCAGCGGCCCGGGGAGGGCTCCAAGACCGAGCCGGGCTCTCCCAGAGTCCGCACGGAGCCCACCCTCCACAAGGACCTGATGGAGGCCATTTCCAAAGACAACATCCTCTACCTGCAGGTGAGCAGGCCCCTGGGGTCTCTGTCATGACCTCTTAGGTGGAGCGTTCCAGTCCCGGCACAGCTGCAGGCCTAGGCCAGCTGTTCCTCCTCAGTCTCTTCCTCAAATCTGCCCATTCATTGCGCAGTGAGGGAACCATATTGGTGGCTCAGACAGGCAAGCCCTTCGGAGGAACAACCACTAGTTAATCAGGCAGTTGTTACCGACGGCACTGAAGGGTCAGCCTGGGCCCCACAGCGGGGGTAGGAGAGGCAGTGGTAGGGAATGCTTTTAGGGCTCGCAGAAGGGCCTCCTGTCCGTGACCCTCTTGTGTCCCTGTCCCTGTTGGGAGTTAACTGTTACCACAGTCTTCAGCCCCTGGGACCGTGGGGCTTTGTGCAGCGGGATGGGACTGCAGCTGGGGTTGCTGTCTTGCAGGGGGAGGCGGGCGGCACATCTGTCTACATTCTCCCAGCTGCCCAGGTGGACGAAGGCTGTGGTCAGGAGTCTCCACCGGGCTGAGCCAGGGGGCTTGCTTCGGGCAGAGGCTCATCCTTGTACCTTGAAGAGGCAATGAGCCGGACCGCTAGGGACAGGAGCCTGTGATGTTCTCATGTAGCGTGAGGTCGCTTGTGGGTCCCTGCACCTCCTGTTTCCGTTGTCAGACCCTTGTCAGCTAGCCGCAGCTAGTATGGGTGAATCCCTTTCTGCAGGGGACCAGTGTTTTCATTGAGAGGAGGGGGGACTCTGAAGTCCGGGTGTAGTGCACGCATTGCTGGGGCGCCCCAGGACAGGCTGTGCTTGCTGTGGTCTGGACCGGGGCACCCAGAGGAGCTGCGCAGAAGCATGCTGGGTGACGCCGGAGGAGGAGTGCGGGGAGGGGCCTGGCTTCAAGGGTCTCAGTTGGAAGCTGCTTCCATGCCCTCGTTTGTGTTCCAGGAGCAGGAGAAGGAGGCGCGGAGCAGGGCGGCCTATATCTCTGCACTCCCCGCATCCCCGCACTGGGGCAGGGGCTTTGATGAAGACAAAGATGAGGATGAAGGCTCTCCGGGGGGCTGCAACCCTGCAGGTGGCAATGGTGGCGACTTCCACAGACTGGTCTTCTGATGTGAGCCCTCCCCGGCCACCTCACAGACCTCGGCCCCTTTCTGCGGGGTGCCAGGTGGTGGGGGTACAGGCCCTGGGTGGAGCTGCTGTGTGGGGTGGGTCTGGGGGCGGTGGAGGCCGCCCAGGGCTGAAGGAGGCCCTTCACGGGGCAGGAAGGATGGGCAGGGAGTTTCCCAGATACGGGCGGTGAGACCCAGGCCCAGCCCCCTGAAATCAGTCCCGTTGAGATTCACACCCAAGTGTCCTGGCTGACTCGGAGCGCCTGCCCGGAACGGCGCTGGGCCTGCCCTGCGGCCTCTGCGGGCTCAGGACTTCCCTCCCGCAGCTCTTGCTGGACAGCATAGAAAGCACAGTGGGACCCAGAGGATGTCAGAGCCCGAGAGGAGAGGGGCTCCAGGCTGCTTCTGCTGGGCCACCCTCCCATTTCCCCAAGGGGATTTGGATCAGGTGCCTGCATTAACCGTACTTCGAGGTGCGCAGGTGGGAAGTGGGCGTGGCACAGGATTAGCGGGGGAGGACCTCACCTGGCTCCTTGACCTGCCTCCCCCTCCCCCAAGGACCCCCACGGGGGGGAGGGGAGGAAGGCTCCCGCCCCACCCCTCTAGCCTGCCTCAGTGCCTGAAATGCCACTACTTGCATCCCCCTCTGGTAAAGGTAGAAAATCTCTATTTTATTGCAAAGACGTTCATTCATCAGGAAGCCACCCTCTGTGTGAGGACGCTGGCTGGCTCGGCTCCTCTGACCGACTGGCCAAGAGACGGGGTGGGGTGGACTGTGACATGCACACGTTGACCTCATTGTCCTCTGCCACCGCTGTAGCCCCTTCTAAATGGAGAGAGACCCATGTTCTCCAACAGGAATAAAACTCGTTCTCTGACGCCTGTGAAAGATGTCCTTCTTCCTGTCTTGAGCTGTGATGGCTGCTGTACGCTTTGTTTTCTCCCTTGGGCAGTCTGATGGTGGCCTGGGCTCCTGGCATAGAAGGTGAAAACCTGCCCCAGTGAGATGGAGTGTGTGGAGGCGAGGGCCCTTTAGCACGGAAGAGGTAGCACGTGTGGGAGACACGGAAGAGCTGGGACTGTGGCGAGGACACAGCACGTGAGGAGCCGGCTGGCAGGGGGCAGGGTGCACAGGCTGGGCAATGGCCAGTGGCTGCTGTGGAGGGGCCTCACGATCAGGTGGGTCTGGGTCCTGGCAGCTGAGACTTCTCAGTCCCCAGGGTCTCTAGGCTGCCTGGAAACAGCTGCTGCTGACAGCTGTGCCTCTAAGGAGCGGCGTGGGGAGAAGCCCTCCCCTGGGCTGGACACGGGCACAGGCTGGGGGAGCAGGTAGGAAGCGCTTATTGCTCTTAAGTTGTCGCCTTCCCCAGGGCACACCCATGCTTAGAGCTGGAGAGGGACACAGGAGCGGCCGTGTGTGCCGGACCCAGGGTCAGCCCTCACCACAGTCTCATTTCCCCAAACCTGCCTATTCCCTTTGGGAAGACAAAGGTCTCAAGGGCTGCCAGTGGAGATGGGTATAGAGCCAAACGTCAGAGAGCCTGGAGCCATTGGCCCATTTTTTACAATTTTTTTTTTTTTTTGTTTTTTTTGGGTTGGGTTTTTGTTTTGTTGTTTCGGCTTGGCTTTGGGTTCCTTTTTTGGCCCTGCTTGTTTTGGACTTGGCAGGGTTCTTCTTTTTTCGGCCTCTTGGTTGTTGGGTTTCCGGGGTTGGGCCCCCCGGCCGGTGTCATCGGCCCTGAATTAAAGGGCTGCTTTCAGGGCACAGCAGGTCAGAGGGCGAGGTGCCCCTCCTTGGGAAGGAGAATTAGCAGATGCCAGGTTCTGAGAAACATAGGCTTCCTTTTGCCCCTAACCAAGCAAAGTACCCAATTGCTTCCTATGAAAGTGGAGCAGACTGGCACAGCAGCCCTCCTGGGGTCAATTAACAAATGTTTCTGGAGTGATTTTCCTGTCTTGTGAGAAGGTGTGCTCATGCTCACGAATGGCAGCCATCGGCCCGGAGGCCTTCGGGAGGCCCCAAGATGGGATCTCAGTCTGGATTCCACTTCCAGCCGCTGCAGACAGACTCGCAAGTCCTCTCTGGGTTGCATTTCTAAAGGACTTTATTGTCCTACTTCAATACCACAGTAAAAAGGGACCTGCAAGCTCCAGGCCTGTACCATGTGTCACCACAGCAGAAACATGACCCACGTGAACATGTTGCCCACCCACCCTGCATCTACTCACAAGATAAATACGTGTTACAAATTTTTAAAAAAAGAAAACAATAAATTAATAACTTAAGTGATTAGGCACTAACAGTGATTTGAAAAAATTAAATGTCAATTTAAATGGCAACAAGACAAGAACTTGAGAGTGGGCTGCTGCTTGCCCATGTTCTCTTCCGAACACATAGGGACAGTTCTGTGCAAAGTGATCCTAAATTTCGAGACACAAGTAGCGAACAAATTACACAAGAGCACACACCACCAGATACCACAGACAGCATGAATCTCCAGCAGGGCCCCTCGGCCTCCCAAAGAACTTGGTGAGTCCCAGAAAGATGGCCCCACGGGGCCACTCTCACTTCCCCCATGTTTGCAGCTGAAGGCTCAGACGGGGAAGGATGAGCCAGTGTCCTCCGAACCGCACTCCTCCAGAGCTCTGCCAAGGGGCCGGGGATAGGCCACAGCCTGGGGCTGAGATTGTAACCCGTGGCAGGTAAGGGGGCAAAGGCAGACTGGAATGGAGGCAATAACTTTAGAATGGTTGTACTTCTAAGAATTGGGCTTACATTAATGGTTTGAAATGTAGAAGTCACCCAAGTCAACTAGGAGACTAAGTTAACTGGCTAATGCTGGGGGTGTTGCCCGTCCCTGGTGACTCCCCCTCATTGCAGCTGAGGAGCAGCTGTGAAAGGGGCTTCAGTGACCCTCTAGCCTACCCTTTGCTAGGCAAACCAAAGTCCAGAAGAGATATCATCCCCTCTAACTGTTCCCACTCAACTTTCCCTGAGGTGGAGCAGGAAGTGGGTGAAGAAAGCTGCCCTGGAGCCAGTCGCAGACAGGAGAGGTCCGTGTGTGAGCTCCGCTGGGTGAGAAGGCACCCTCATTGTGGACTTTCAGTCCTTGCCAGGCCACCAGGAGAGGTGCATCTGGACCCATGGGCTGCCAAAGGATCTGTTTTTTTGAACTGAGTTGACTTCCTTTAGGGGCTTGGAGGAGCAGCTACATGGTAGGGCTGGTTGGGTGGGCTTTACGAGCCAGAGCCCTGCTTTTGTCCTTAAGTCTTCACCCCACTTTGCACACTGAGAGCTTGGTAGGCACAGGAGCCAGGACCTGGGAGGAGGCCACCCGGAGACCACGTTAGAACGCCCTATCTCTGCACAGCCAAATTCATTCACGTAATACTCAGAGCATGGTGACGTTTTCATAGCACGATGGGGTCCATACAGGAGGCACCATTAAAAACAGCTATGTGGGACCCCTGGCAGAAAGCCCTAAAGGGACAGTCAGGGAAGGCAGAGGGAACCAGCACCCTGTAACCCTACCCAGTGTCACCACTGCCCCCACAGGAGCCCTGAGACTGTCCCTAGGACTCCCACCCCTCAAATGCCTTTTATTCCGAATCGCACAGCCTCCCAGCAACCACCTTCCTGTGCTGCAGGGCTCGCTGCGCTCCAGGGCCTAGCTCAGGCCCCCTTTTCCCTCCGCCACCTTTGCACGGTCGTCGCCCTCCTGGCCTCTGGCAGCAGGCTCGCTGAGAAGCGCTCTGTATTCCTGCTCTTCCATCTGCATCTGTGTGTCCTGTCTCACAGCCGTCACCATCGCCTTGTGTCCTGGTCCTTTCTTCTCCCCAATTTTGACCTCCAGTTCAGAGACAAGCTGTGATTCGCCGCCTTGGCCTAGGTGCTTGGCCTCGGCAACTGTGACTTAAAGATCTCTGAGTTGCTCTGAATTAATTCTAGAAGGGCCACTGCCGAGGAAATAGCTTCTCCCAGGACGGGCTCCTGGGGAGTGCCAGGCCCTGGTCTGCAGAGGCACGCACGCTTGCGGGAGCAGAGCGGAGCGGCGGCCGTCCCCATGGAGCGTGGTGGGGAGGTCTGTTCCGCAGGGGCGAACTGAAATGTTTAGTCTGGCCTGCTGCCTCTGAAATACTTGGAAATTTGGTCAAGAACGTTCATCATAGGAATTTAGACCCCTCTCCCTCACTTAGGTTATGCCTTGCTCCTATCCCTGCCTTTTAGCCATCCTTATAGGTTTGAGTTCAACATGGCAACTGCAGTGCCAGGGTGCCACAGCAGGGAGAGGAGCTGAGACCACACCCTGGGCTTGCGAGCAGGCCCACCGAGTTTCCCTCCAGAGAGCTGGGCAGGAGCTGCCAGCCGTACCGCAGCTTAGGTGTGGTCTTGTTTACCTGCCGTGCTCAGTCCCTTGTGTCACGTGCCATGCACCCAGCTGCTCCATCCTGCCCCCTGCCTCCCACGGTCATCCTGTGCACCTCCATTACACTTCCTCGCTGCACCACCCTCCCTGCAGTGTCCCTGCACTGCCCCATCCCCAGCACAGTCCTGTCCCGGGTTTCCCGCAGCCCCTGCACTGCTTCCAGCCCGTCACATCCCCGCCCCTCACCTGCCAGCTTTCCCACACACGTCACCCAGCTCGGCCCACGCCCCTCGGCGGAAGCTCAGGAAGGGGATGACTTTCCGTCCCAGGGTGGCATCATCCGACCGCGTCAGAGGAGCCCTGAGCACAGCGTCCTTGTCACTCCAAGCCCTGTTCCTTGTCATTCTCAGTTGTCATTACTGGTTTTGCCTTCATTTTGTCCTTCATTCTCTTGCCTCTCCCATTCCCCAGCGATGGCCCTGCACGTTCGTGGCCTGGAAACAGGACCCCTGAAGGTCCCACTCTGCGCCTGGGAATCTCATTCTTGTCCGCCTCTGACCTTCATTCTAAAGACCGCCTCTAACCTTCATTCTCAACTATTTCAGCTTTCGGCAGCCTTGACTCTCCCGTCAAGAAAAACAGGGATGTCCACTTTGGTCTCCTGATCTTAGGCTCCCTGGCTGGTCCTCCACGGGCCTGAAGGAGAGGTAGCCCGAGATGGTGGGGGCTGGCTCAGAGTCCCAGCGCTCCCCTCCCTCCCAGCATCCGGTAGACACTCAGGTTTTGAGGACAGGAAGAAGCTTTTTGGCAGTAGCTCCTAACTAAGGTGGGAGGAGGCACAGCCAGTACTGATAAGTCACATGGGCCCAAGTGGGCAGAGCAAGTGCCCACTCGGCCCTCACTTGCCAAGGAAGGGTCCCTGATGTCAAATGCTTTGAAGGCCAAGCATGGCAGAGTGGAGTGAAAGGGGTGGAGGACAGAGGGAGAAGCCAGTTCAGAGCTGCTGCCTCCTGTCTCCTCTCTGGGCTCGGTGGCCCCCACGTCACAGCTTGGCACCCTTGGAAGGCTCCGAGGACTGCCGCACATCTGTCCACTCCTGCATGGTGTTCTGCAGGGCCTGGGTCTTCTCCTTATCCACCTGGACATAGTCCACCTTTTCGTCCGAAGTGACAGATGATGTGGATGGCTGAGGGGACAAAGCAAGAATGGCTGTGAGTTACCTGAAAGGTGGGGAGGGAAGAAGGGGGATCTTCCCAAGCTGTGCTGAGGGGAGGTGAATGCAGTTGGCCTCTGCTGCACTTAGATGAGCCTTTGCTGTCTGAGTATGAGCTTTAAAGCTGTTCATCCCAGTGGAGCTCCCTCCTGGTGGAGCAACGGCCCTGCCAGCCTTGTCTCCTGCAAGTCGTGGGCAGACCAGGCCATCATCTCCACCTCCACACACCTCCCTCTGGCCACTCTTCCAGGGGAAGGACTGTGTTGGGTGGCGACAAGCACCAGCCCGTTAGGGCTATAGGTGTGTCTTCTCCCTATACCCTCCCGGTACCCTGAGGAACAGTGCGCTGAAGGGGGGCTCTAGCCTGCTGTCTAGACACTGCTGGTTAAGAGTGCATTCGGTGGGGCAATCCTAGATCTGGAAGTCCTTTCTCAGGCCACTGTATCACCAGCTGGGCCCCCTCTAGCTAGTAAATTCTTCTCAAAGAAAAATTCTACGCAGGAGGCAGGATCTCTGAGTCTCAGACCTGACACCAATTCACTTCACCCTGGGCAGAGTAGGTCTCAGTGTGTGTTCATGGGCCAGGGCATGGGCTGGCTCACGAAGTCCTATGGACTGAGGTGCATGCTCTGAGAGGAAAGGTGGGGAGAAGGTACAGTCGAGTCATACAAGCTGGCTCTGAGGGAGGCTGAGGGGTGCTGCCCAGTGTGGAAGGCGCCCTGACCTCCCCCTTTCCTACTGACCCCCACCCTCCACCCCAGGCACCTTTCGGTGGGGGCTGGGGGAGCCCGGCTGGAAGTCCAGAGCCAGGTAATCAACGCTGCCGGTGCTCTTCTTGGGGGCTGGACTGTTGGTGCCACTGGGAACAGGAGATGCAGACACTGGGTTTTGCTATCAGGAGGGAAAAACTGAGTTTAGGAAAGAGGCAAACCCACCACCCAAACTCAGGTCTGGGAGTAAGAGCTACTGGCTCACGGCGTCCTGCTCTGCGCCTCGTGCTGTGCTAAGGGCTTCATGCACTTAAGTCCTTACAACAACCCCGTGAAGTTGGTATTGCTACTGTTCAGGTCATTTAAAACAAAGCTGACCCCTATGGCTGGGGCAGGATGGGCAGCAGGGCTCTCAGCCCTGTACCACTCCCCTGGCCCATGCTGCTTCCTTCGGGCCTCAGGCCAAATCTCATGTACAGCTGCTCTCCGAGAGAGTTCCCACCCAGGCTCACCAGCCTCTAAGGAAAGAGCCGGTCCCGCTCTGTGGGCTCCTGTGAACAGCACACACCTCCCCTGCTCTGCAGAGGCCAGAACAGCTGGTGCGGAGAGCCCGTTCCTTTAGCACTTCTTTGGATGACAGATTCGAGGGTCCTGTTTCCAGGTGGGCCCCTGCTCTGGGAGAGCACCTCCCTGGCTAGAACGTAGCCCAAGTTTGATTCAAATTAAAAAGTGATGGTCCTGGGCTCCAGTTTCTGGCTGTTTTAGTGGCTGGTTGATTCGTTCTTTTCAGTATTTCTGCAGCCCTCACTCGGTACAGGGCAGCTACGAGCTTTGCAGTGAACTCTCAAGCAGGAACTGTGTCACGCTCTGCCTCTGTTCACACTTCTCTTACGGTCAGCACCACCGGGAGGTGTGTGCCTCCCTCTAGCACTGCCCTGCCAAGGTAACCGTCGTGCCATGTCTGCTCTTTAAGACACAGACCTTCTTGGGGCAAGAACTGTGTCCTCCCTACAGTCGACAACACTCCCTCTGCTGGCTGCACAGGTGCCCAGGAAGGTCTGCAGCAGGGGGCTGAAGCACGCTTGGTACAACAAAGGAGCCCAGAGGTGCTGAACAGCAGGGCCCCGGGGACTAGGACTCATCCCAGCGAGCCCCCAAGGACTCACCATAGGGACGTAGTTCTCCTCACTGTCTCCCGAGTCTGTGCTTGTGATGCTCTGAGTGGAGATGGGGCGGCAGTACTGCGAGGAGCTGGAGGTGAAGGTGTGGCTGTGGTGAAAGGAGGACAGCGTGAACCCTGGGGGATCCGGACCCTCACACACCCAGACCTGGGCGACCAAAGCATTATCCGCTACTAGCAGATGGAGATTGATAAAGGGCGGGTGTGATTATTCTCCTTTTACAGATGAGGAAACTGCACCCCAAGAGATCACTGGCCATGATCAGCTGATGACAGCATTAGCATCAGAATCTTTATCTTCTGACCCCCAGGCAGGGAAAATTCCACTTATTTCTAACCCCACCCAACTCGAAGCTCTTGCTTCCACAGATACTCACTTGGCCCTGGACCAAGACTTAGTGACAGGTGACTTGAAGGGGAGCTCATCGATGACAGCATTGTTTCTCAGGTCAAGTGGTGTTGGCTTGGCTGGAGTGGGAATAGAGTCAGCAGTCAGCCAGCGATCATGCCGCAGGGTGAAATACATGCGTACGACATGCAAGCATGTTTATAACAGCCTTGACAGTCACTGCAGTTTTAGCAGGGAAACTCAGTAGGGCATCTGCAGAGGACTGGTGTTAGGACTTACTCAGATTATCAAAACCAAGGGATGCTGAGGTCTCATATAAAATGGCACAGTATTGGCTTGTAACCTACTCGCATCCTCCTGTACACTTGAAATCATCACTAGGTTACTTATGATACCTGATACGATGTAAATAACTGTTACACTGTAATATGTATAGGCCCGGTAAATGTAATGTTTATTTTCAACTGCATTGGTTGAATCTGCAGATGTGAAACCTGCAGATACTGAGGGCCAACTATATAAACTTTATCCTTGAAGTCGAATCTTCTGATTCTAATTTATATATCCTTCCTAGTGTACCTACGGTTATTGGACTTACAGAATCCAAAACAGCAGATTTTGTCCTCCCCAGATTTATGACTATGCAAAAGCAAGACACTGCTTTCAAATACAAGACACTGTATTTGAAATGGAGAGAGCCACTGTGACAACTCCTTGCTGTTTTCACACAGGGCTGAGCAAATTGCACTGAAGGAAGGAAATATTATGAGGCTGTGTAGATTTTAATTCTGTATGTTCAGTTTGAATTCCCTGTTACGCTATTCTGCCCTTCAAATCCCCACTGCCCCCAGCAGAGGCCAGGGGAGAGCAGTAGTGTAGACCTGGAACCTGGGATTATAGTACCTCTTCTGGGTCTTCACACAGCATCAAAGATCTAATGACTACCACTTGTGTGAGCAGACCTGCCAGTGTCCTAGGTACTATTCTGAACAAACCCAGGAGGTGGGAATTACCATCCCCATTTCCCAGGTAAGAAAGCTAAGGTTCAGGGAACGCACATGATTTGCATAAAAGTCATAACCCCCAAGTCCAGTTTCTACCTGATCCCTAAGAAAAAGCAAAAGGTTGCTGGGTGTTGTCCTGCAACAGGAAGGGAAAAGAGCGGACTTACCTTTCCGGTCAGGCTTGAGGTTGCGGTTGACTGGGGGTGGCTGGATCTCACTTCCTCGGCTGGGGCCTCTGTGCACAGGAAGGGCTGTTGATGTGTAGCCAAGTGGGTCAAAGGGATGAGGCCCCGGGCTCATAGGGATGTAGACACTCTGGGAATTGTCACTTGCCCGCTCCATGGCCAGCAGGGTGGAAGAACCTGGGTTCATGGGCACATAGTTGTCTTCAGAACTGGTACTGTCGGACCGACCCACCACAGTTTTCCCTGGCTAGAGAGGAAAGGAAACAGAGGTGTCACTGGCAAGAAGAAACACAAAGGTGAGAATCTGTGCAGGAGGTAATGCCGTCCCGGAGGGTCAACTGCACTAGGAAGCTACAAGGGAGACTGTGGAAAGCCCACAGAAGGAGGCAGGGTGGGGGACAGAAATAAATGAAGTCTGTGGATCTCGTCTGGCTTTCATGACCTCTTGGGATCACTTATAACTCGTGATCCACCTAAAGCATAAAATATCCTTGGTGGCTGGGGCCTCATAGGTTTCCGGACGCCTGGACAAGGCAGAGGACAGGCCACGGGCTGCATAAGTTTGGCTCAGGTCTCATCAATGGCAGGCCAGCATCTAGACCCTGATCAGCTCGGAGTGTGTGAAGGGTCTTGGTGCTGGAAGCTGAGGTCTGGGGCCACCTGGGTGTCCTCTGTCCAGCCTGTAGCAGGCCTGAGGTGTACCACAGACACTGAGGTGACTGCTAGGCCACAGGCACAGTGGCCAGAGAGTTGTGCAATGAGCCACTCTCCAGCTCTTGCCTAGGTCATACAGCCGTCTTTCCAGCAGGCTTGGAAGCAGGCCCTGGCCTCTCCGCTTACACCTTGGACCACTGTGGTTAGCCCCTCAGTGGGCAGCTGGAATCCTGTACTCAAACTGCAGCCCTGCCCCCTGGGCTGACTCTGAGCACCACCCCTGCCTGGAGTCTCTGCGGCAGTGTCCTCCATGTGGCACCTGGTAAGCAGGGTTGCTGCACAGAAGACCCCTACCCATACCCAGCTCTGCTGGGTTCTAGACCCTTTTGCTTCTCACGGTGAGTCAGCCTCGTCCTTCAGCCCACCTAAGGAAGCACGCTTCCTCCAGACATGGGTGCCTACATTTTACTTGTCTAAAAACTCAACCTAGGATTCTGAACTGAAAGGGTCCTAAGAGGGTGATGAGCTCACTCCTTCGGGCTGTGCGAAAGTTCCATGAGGTCTGACCTTTTCCTTCCTCTGAGTGGTTCAAGGAGCCTTGGTCAAACTCCACTCACCAGGAAAGAAGTGATTCCCTCGCTCATGGACTCAGCAGACCGGCCTGTGCTCTCCCCGCCGCGTGGAGGGTGCTCATAGGTCTCACAGGAGGAAGCTGTGATAAAAGAAGGAAGAGCATGTGTAGCCACATTCATCCACGTGCTGACTTTGCCCGACCCTCCAGCATGGCTCAGAGTCTACTGATACTCCAGAAGTGCTCTTCAGTTCCCACACAATATGCTTTTACAAACACAGCCCTCCCCAGCTCAGGATTCCTCCTGGGCTTCTGGAGCAGGACTGACCACCTGTCCTACTTACCTGGCCCCCACCTCTGTGAATATCATAGTAACAACGCTTGAGCTAACTTACAAAGGTTGGTTTTCTTTTCCCAGCCAGATGTGAGCTCTGTAGGGTTGGGATACATTTTAAATGGTTCCCAAGCACATGGTGTTTGCTTAAATTCCTGGCTGCAAAGAGTTCTAAACCAAGAGCCAGGACCCTAGGATTACAGTTTCACCTTGGCCCCTAATAATTGTAAACTACCATGGGCTTCATGCAGTGGAGACTGCAAGGTTCTGTCCCACCAGGCTCTGCATGGCTTAAACCACAGGAAGAATAAGAAAAAGCTCTGCAAAGTCAGGTGTGGTGGTGCATGGCTATAACCCTAGCTCTCTGGGAGGCTGAGCAAGATGATGGGAAGTTTGAGCTGGGCCTGGGTAATTTAGCAAGTCTCTTTCTCAAAATAAGGCTTGTGATGTAGCTCAATGCAAAGGCACTGGGTTCAGTTCCCAGTAGTACCATCACCACAACAACCAAAAAAAAAAAGACAAGAATATGCAATTTTATATATAAAAGATGCAAACAGAAGATAATATTGTTCTGTTTTCCTCAGAGACATGCAGAGTTGCAATATACTCAGTAAACAAATGGCAACAGAACAGAGGTACTTATTTTCTTTGGTACTGAGATTCAAACTCAGGACCTTGTGCTGGCCACAGGCGCTGTGCTGCTGAGCTATATCCCCAGCCCAGAACTGAGGTACTTTAAAATGGAAGTTCAGACTTAAGCCAAAGAGAGTTTAGTATAGCTTAGAAATATTCTGAAAATCTCATTTCATTTTATTAGTCTGTTCATCCATATAAGTTTGGCTCAAAGTTTGGACTGGATTTCTAAATTTTTTTCTCTAAATCTTTGGTTTGATTTTTAAATGAACAAAACATTATGATTTGGTCTTTCAAAGCTTAATATGTGGTACTGTGGTTGACCAAGGATATTTTGTGTTCCTTAGGAGAATATCCACTTCTCCAAGGCAGGGTCTGCCATTGTGGGCGTCATAAAAAGAGAGGACCAGCTGGTAAGGACACTGGACAGGATGCCTAATTTACTGGGGTGGCCCTTAGCTATGGATGGCCACAAGGCTGCAAGCCACTGAGGACCCCTTGCCTACCTCCCTCTCCCTCTAGGGCTCCACTACACTGTACACTGACCTCGGTGCAGCCGGCTGTTGTCCATTGCTGGGAGCGTGTTGCGCCTGGGGATTGTGGCGGCGACAGATCTATTTTCACTGATTTGGGGTCTCTGCTGAGGGCTGCCCCATCGAGGTGTTTCTGATTGACTTGGCTTGGGGGGCCGGGGAGGGGGGGCTATGGCTGAATCCGCAGGAGCGGCCACAGACATGGCATTGTGGTTCCTGTCTAGCGTGAATGTCCTAGGGATCTGGTAGGCTGAGAGTGGAGTGGTTGGAACATCCATGTTGTCCACCAGAAGGTCCCCGAACTCCCTGCACAGGGTGTTGCTAGGTGTCTTGAAGGTGTACACGTCTTCATTGTCCGTCTCAGACCCTGTGAGGCTGCCCTTTGTGCGGCCGTGGGCGGCCAGGCTGCGAGGGAGGTCATAGGTGCTGTCTCTGAACTCCGCATTGTGTCGGCTTGGCTTGGGAAGGCTGTAGAAGCCATGGACTTGACCACTGACCCCGTTGACACAGTGTCCATTGCCCTGGGCAAGTCTCTGCACAGCTGTGTCGCTCTTCTGCCTCGTCCCCTGAGAAAAGCTGGCACTCCTAGGAGAGAAAGAAGAGCGGGGCTGACAGTGAAAAGAGGCCAAAACTGTCCTCAGGGGGCAAGATGGATGTGGAGAGCCCCAGGCAGCTCACTGGTATGGAGAAAACACAGTCTGAGGAGTCAGTTACCTAAGACCTGCCATGTACTAGCTGTGTGACCTTGGACAAGCCACTTTGTTTTTGGAACTCTATGTATCTATAAAATGGTGATGAGAAACACGTTTTGAAAGTCATTTAGAATAGGCTAGTATAACAAGCCAGGTGTGGTGGCGCGCACCTATAATCCCAGCGCTCGGGAGGCTGAGGCAGGAGGATCTTTGCTAGTTCAAGACCAGCCTGGGCTACAAAGTGAGCTCAAGGCCAGCCTGAACTGTGTAGTGAGACCCTGTCTCAAAAAGACCAAAAATAAAAAAAGAAATCACTAACTTTTATAAATATATATATATAAAAAGAATAGACTAGTATATCTAGTTACAGATGTTAGTCTTTATCCCTGCTCAGTCTCCAGATGGCTGTCATTGGAAGAGATCACACTCTCTTCCTAAACTAATATTCACTTGTTCAGTGTTTTAAGTACCAAGATACATACATTTCAATATAAAGGCTATGAGATAGTGGAAAGAACCCTGAAGCTGTTGTCAGAAAATAACAGGCAACAGCTGGGCACAGTGGTGCACACCTGTAATTCCAGCACTTGGGAGATTGAGGTGGGAGGCTTGCTGTGAGTTTGTGGCCAGCCTGGGCGACATAGTGAATTCAAGGCTAGCCTGAACTGTACAGTGAGACCCTGTCTCAAGAGGGGGCAGGGAAGGTCATTCTATGTCTGAGTCTTAGTTTTCCCTCTGTGAAACACACTAGCTCATTAGTACTGATGTATCTGTAAGTTGTACAGATTTAATTGTAAGCTTAAGTGTAAGCTGTAGATTTATCTTCTACTTTGTATTATGGTTTGTTGAGAGGCATTAAGCTCTTTCCAGAAATCTAAAAATATATAGGAAAAATGGTTTTCTACTTGGGAACTACATTCAGGATGCACCTCCCCGCCAACAGTGATTAAGCAGCCCAAGCAGTAAAGACAGGGAAGTAAAAGAGAATAATTTGAGTTAGATTCCAATACTGCTGCCATATGCCCCATGAGCGACACCAAGTCCCCCTCCCAGGTGTGACCTAGTGGGTTTCACTGACATCTAGGGGTTCATCTGGCTCTGAGACTGCTAGAAAGCCTTTGGTTTTACAAGAACTAGATTCTATGTTCTGTGTAAATACTTTGGGAAATCAGAGTGTAAAGTTTTAAGTAGTAGGGATCCAGATCTGCTTCCCTTATCTTTTATACTATAATTCTTTAGAGGATTTCATTGTTGTGGTTTTTGCACCGGGAATCACACTAAGGGCCTCACGCTTGCCAGGCAGGTGCTGTGCTGCTGAGCTATATTCCTGGCCTCTTTAGAGGACTTTATTTGGAAAAAAAATATGACTCAATATTTTACAGCAGTGATTATCAGCCTTTTGGAGGTAGGAAGCATCTTTAAAAACCTGACAATAAACTTGTGGAGCTTGACACCAGAACAAGGCAGGTCTCCTACACACACAAATCTTTGTGCCCTTCTGTGTGTGTGTGTGTGTGTGGGTGTTGGGCTGGGTGTGTGTGTCACAAAGCAGGGGCCAATCTCTGGAACTGCTTGCTGCCTTACAGAAGCGCTCTCAGTTCAGGGGAGCTTGTCATTTAGCAATGTGGCCACCAGGTGGGGGTAGAAAACAGGGGCCAGAAGTTTGGAAAGGAAGGAAACTTGTGTAGATCAGGCTCTCAAGTAAATCTGGGTCCTGGATGGCTGGCAGTTTCTATTTAGTCCCTAAGCCTTTACCAGATCTCCTGCCTGGGCCTCTGCCTTCCTTCTCCCTTATTTATTTCTGTTTTTGTTTTTTTTTTTTTGAGACAGGGTCCTGCTATGTAGTTCAGACTGGCTTTGAACTAACTATGGAGCCCAGGGTGGCCTTGAACTTGTGATGATCCTCATGCTTCTTCAGCCTCTGTGCTGGGTTTACAAGCATGCACCACAACACTTGGCTTTACTTTCTCCCCTTTTAATCCCTTCCATACACATAAATCAAGCTGACAACATACACCTAGATAATACAGCAGGAGGGGGTGCCTGAAAGTAGACCTAAAGGGTTCACATAACTCACATTGGTTTTGGTGCTTTTCACTTTGTCCTTTGGAATCTTCCAACTCTGTTGGATTGCTCCCATCTGGATTTGCTCATTTAAGGAACATTTATGGATGTCCTTCTTTGCCTCTAGACCAGGCATAATGGATACACAGATGCCACCTGCCCTGCGAGGGGTGGTATGTGGAGTGGGGTATGTGTTGCTGCACTACAGTGGTGACAACCTGCAAATCTCTCTATGAGGTGGAGTGGGGAGTATGTGTCTGCTGACAGATCTATTCTGACCACCACTGGTGGTGCTGTGGTAGACCATGTCAGGGAAGGCTTCATGAAGATGTTATATCTGAAGGAATCTAGGAGGAAGGGCAGCAAGAAAAGCAAAAGGTGTTCTCATTGGAGGCACATACACAACATGGTCAGTTCAAGGATGTGCAAACTGCTCAGGCTGGAGGAAGTATATTAAAAGTTAAAGCTGAGAAAAGGCAACTGCTGCATCTCACTCATATATGGAATCTGAAAAAGTTGATCTCATTGAGGCAGAGATAATGGTGGTTAACGGAAGCTGGGATGCACAGGGGAGGTGGCAGGGGAGATGTACAGGATGCATAATTATAGAGAGACAGGGGAATAAATTTCAAGAGATCTGTTGTATAGTACAGTGACTATGGTTAATGATGACACACTTTGATTCTGAGAAAGAGTGGAGGTTATGCACTCTTTCCACAAGAATGATAACTGAGGTAACGTGATTTTTAATTTGCTTGATTTAACAAATTACGTATGTATGTTTTCAAAACACTGAACACAACCAAATCATGCAATGGTATCTGTGAATTAAAAAATTAAATTAGCTTGGGGTTTGGCTCAGTGGTAGAATGCTTGTCTAGCAGGCATGATTTTTTGGGTTTGATCCCCAGCACTGGTTGGGGTCGGGGTGTGTGCTTTGAGATGACAGTGGAGGGTCCGGTCCAGGGATGTGGGGTACAGGAAACCTCTGAAAAATTTAATGGTGAGACTAGGGGTAGGGAAAAGATCACTGGTGTCCAGCGGTAACCTTGAATATATGCAAGAATGCACTCATTATCTTCTACCTGAAATCTGCTGCTCCTGACTCCCCAGGCTAGGGAAGCCAGAAAGCAGGAAATTACCCACATTCCCATTTGTCACTCACTAACCCGTCAGGTCTTACTGAGTCCACTTCAGTTCCTTCAGATTTTTTTTTATGGATTAGAGGGCTAATTAATTTCCTTCTCATCTTCCTAGGGCCTCTCTGATCCTCTACATCCTACTGGTATTTACTTTCCCAACCACTCCATCCAAACATGCGCAATATACTACCCCCCAATTTCTTAGGTTTATTCCAACTCCTCTCCCCAGTCTGTTCTCTCTAGGTCCCTCTCCTACTCTAGTGTTGCGGACTACAAATTATAAATTGACATAAAATCTGTCTGAGACCCTCCTTGCCCTGCGTTGTGGGCTGGCTTCAGAATGCAGAAATCTGCTTCCCCTTGGTCAGTGAAGCTTACAGAGCAGGATGAAGTTTGCTGAGGACAATATAGGGAAACTAGCACCCAGGTGTGGGGATGAATCTGAACTTGTTTCATTTATGTTAAAATGTTAAGTGAGTGGCTGCCCATTCAATCACTACTTCTATGCTGTTCCGGGAAAAGCACCTCCCCGTCCCCCTGCATGGGCTAAATAAAACGGTGGCTAGCTGGAGATTCTTGGTCTTTGCTGCCAGAGACACTGATCGTCCCAGAGTCCTGGCAATTGCAATTCTTGTCTCTTTTTTTCTTTCTCGCCTTGTGCTGTAACTCCGGGCAGGAGATGGGGAACTCAAGGGGGGATCTCTGATAACTGGTGCTGTAGAAAGGGTCTCTGATACTCTAGGAAGTACTCAAACCAAACTTTGCTATGTTCCCAATGGGCCCCACTGAGTTGATCCTCTGGCTTTGTTGTTTACTCTGCATGGAAGGGCTAATTCTTACTTCAGTCTAGCAGGCTCCTAATCCTTCACGCTCACCTCAAATGGCACATCTTACCTCCAAGAATAATCAATCACGCTTAAATTAACTCTGTTCTTGGAGCAGGCAGCAACTGCTATCTGTATTATGTACCACTGTTACTTGTCTCCACCAACAGACTGTGACTTCTTTGAGAAAAGAAACTGTTGTATTCCTTTTCTTCTCCTCAGCACCCAACTAATGTTTGTCATGTAGTAAATAATGTTGATTACATAAACAAGTTAGCAAATGTATACATAAACAAATGAGTAATAAAGTGTGGTGCTGCCATGCTTTTCCTGAGCTTGGCTCAAATCCTTTGGACCAGCAGCTTGAAGCCTTCCCTTACACAACCTATGTCCCAGCTTCCCTCTGTCCCAGCATCCTCTTCTCTAGGTCACAGAACTACTAACTCATTCTCACACACGTCCCACATAGTCTACGCTCCAGCCCTGAGCTCACAATACTCACTTCTCTCTGATGCATCAACATGCAAAGTCCAAAAGAAGCCTTTTACGTCACAAAGGCACAGCATCTCCCGAGTTTCTTTCACTTCAGTCCCTGCTCCTCTGTGCTTGCACAGCACCCTGCTTCTGCCCCAGCGTTCAGCTGGGGTTTATTATGCTCGCCAGTATCTTTCCACTTCTGCCAGACCACGTGCACTAGAAGGCAGAGGGCCATGTCCTGTACTCTGGCACGGGGCCTGGCAGATGGCAGATAATACTGATGTAGGTTGAGAGGGCATGATCATTACTTCAGCAATTAGGTAAGAGTTGTTCAGCAAGATAAATAAACGTGCCCAAAGGAGGACATACTCATATGGAGAAGAAGT